TTGAAGATGTTTAACAAAAGAAAGATCTGCAATGTATATTTTTTCTTCAGAACCTATCAGTAGATAGTTTTATAGAAAAAAAACATTGAAACTGGAAAATTTTCAACGTGTAGAACTAGTTTTTACCTGATTTCAGCCATGTTTTGAATACTTTGAAATACATCAACATATAGATGCTTTCAAAGTTATCAAATGTATACTTTTTGCTGGTTGATGAGGATGTAGGTGTGGGTACGTGTGACTGAAGTTTAGACAACACTCACAAACCATATCAACACATGCAAATAGATCGTAAGACTTTATAGACTTCGTATCAAGGAATGGGTGATGAGTCTAAGAAAATGGATGTGAGTTGATACTGTCGATTGTTGCATTCACTAGTTCTTGATCATTAATTACGATTCTAGATCAGTTAGTTACAAAGCATTTCCTTGCCGGTCTATTTCTCGTGAGACAAGTTAATTGCAAGCAATCAGTCGCAATAAAGACTAGACATAAGAAGCAATCACAATAACTCAGAGCCAGAATTTGAAAAAAACATATCATCTTAGATTATTCTAAACCACAACACAAATTACTCTTAATGATGAATTTTGTTTGAAGCAAATTTAATATGAATTGATCTGAATTTCACTATCACGTACTAAGTTTTTGTACTTTTCTGGATAATTTTTGCAGCATTAGACGCAAGAAACAGGCTAAATGGTACAAGCATTTAATGTAACACTCTCCATATGAACTTTTTTTGTACATTTTTTTAACTCAAATAGCGAGGACAAAAATAGAATGGAAAAATGTTATCAAGATCGCAACTTTGAAGTAATATTTGTTTTCTATTTAGTGTCCATGATTCTCTCTTTATCAAGAGGATATAGGTGCAGGTGTGGTTGTGGGTATCGATCTTTTTCTCATTTTTACCCACAGCAACATCCATAGTGACATTCACACCATCAAGTATTTAAGCATAATTTTTGAAAAAACAAATCAAATCTGGTTCAAATTGTACTGTTTTAATTTGAATATATTCAATCAAACGTTGAATAGCTAATTCATTTTGAGTTTTTACTATTCATACTCTAAAATCAATTTATAGAAAAGATAAATCAGGATTATGCTTATTTTTTATTTCGTTTTTTCTCACTCATCATTCATTGACATACAAAAAGAACGGGTACAGATTATTACAAATATCACGATAACAAAAATTATTCAGTACAAAAAATATTTGTTTTACATGATATGCATAAAAGCCAGTCAATCAATATTAATATCACATATAGCTCGTATTGTTTCAAGTGAATATTCACGTAGAAGTTTTCCATTTTCGAAAACAGTTACAAGTTGATCTTCAGCTTCTTCATAGTCTTTACAATGATCGATACTACTTAATGTTCGATAACTACCGCTACTATCTTTGACTAATTTAAGACGACCAGGTTTATTACGTTTACCAGGATCATGAATTGGATCTTTAGCAACTGCTCGACCGCCAATACCATCGATCTCTACATAAGAGCACTTAATAGCAAATTTCATCGTATCACGATTAAATTTTTGTAAAAGACCCCCTAGAGAAAATCAAACATTTAACTAAAGATAATTTAAGAAAGTAATATATCTTTTACCGCCACTACCAAATACAAGGTTATCTGCAGAAAAACCAATGCGTTCTATTAAATCAAGAATGTCTTTAATCGATTTCATATCAACACCATCACCTTGTATTATTCGAACGTGTTTATCAAGTACTTTAAAACCTTTTTCATTTACATGTCCACCAAATTTTTCATACAATATATTCAACATATGTTCAAGAACTTCAACTGGATCACCTAAAAAAGAAAAAAAAATGGTAAAGTCATGCAAATTTTATCTTAATTTCATTAATAAGTAACCTGCAAAAACATTTTCAAATTGAGTATGATTTTGTTTTTGTCATTTGACGCTTACGAGGGAACTTAAACAGATGTTTTCTTGGCATTTTAATGAGTTTTCTGCCTATAGACACTACATAGCGTTCTATTGAATACTCGAAAAGAATTTTTGTTCTTATTGACCTCTGATGAAGCTATCGAGTCTTTCATATGTCAATTTTATTGAGACTCCTGCAGAATACTAGGATTGCAGGAAAACCGTCTTTTTGAATTTGATCCTGAAGCTGCCTCTACTTAAAAATATCACACGCACTAATATCCATTCGAAAACTAGAGACAGATGAATGCAAGTTCAATAACTTGATAACGGTAACAACCAGTGGTCTGTGATTTTCAGCAATCGAAAGAAAAGAACTTAGGATGTCCTTTTATATGACACTGTTTCAGACAACATTATTTTAAAAGTGCATCATTCTTGCAAAAAATTTCAAAAACTTTATGAAACACGTATGCCGTTTCAAGGAAATTTCGTTAAAGAGTCAAAGAATTTACTAGAAGTTAGCATAATTCTATATAATTTGACAGAATAGATACGGAACTTTCTTTGCTTAGCATTGAGATATGAGAAAGTAATCAACTGAATCATACATTGAACTATGGATGTGAAATATCACAGACAAAGATACATTGAAACGGAACACTATTTTCCTATGGTTTTTTAATGCTTTGCGAAAATGATGAGTTTTAAAATAACTTTGTTTAACACACTATGAGATAAAAAAAATGTTTGAACTTCTCCTCTTTGGATTATTGAGGACTTTTCTGTTGCCATGGAACTATAGACAAAGGATATGGTGCCAGATGTTCTTAGTTGCCATGGAAATGTGCTTACCAAATTTATTGCAATTGCATCCACCAGTGTTGATATGATTGTCAGCGGCGTGACAATCATTGATCTATACCTAAGAGGGTGAGAATCGGAAGACTTAGCCTGATAACTTACACTCACTGTTTTCCTTCTTCAAATAGGTGAGTCGCACAAAAAGAGAAAATAAAAACAGATATGAAGAGAAACGTATACAATTAAAATATTCTTTCTTTTCAATCAATTTTTTGCATGTCTTATCTTCATACCTGAATCAGAACGAATAACCAAGATACCATCACGTGCCATTACTTTGTCACGCAAAATTTGACCCCAAATACGTTCACAAGCATTAAAAATATTATATGAATCAGATACACAAGCAATAACGCCACTTGGATATGCATCTATTAATAAATAAATAAAAAATCTTTGATATCTAAATTCACTTTTACCTATAAAATTTTCATAAGCATCACATTCTTTTTCACGTCCCCAGCTGACTATTGTCGAATGTTCTGTTGCTGGAATTGAATTACCAGCTATTTTCTTAGCTAAATAATAATTTTCAGCTAATATACATCCAGATATAGTATCAGTTCCATAGAATGATGTTAAATGTGCACATG